CGCGCCCGCGCCCTCCGCCTCGCCCGCCCGGCCGAGCGCCGGCGCCTGAGTAGCTGCGGCCGGCGGTTTCCCCGGAGCGCCGCGCCCGCCCGCCCGCGCCGCCGCCATGGGCTGCTGGGGCCGCAACCGCGGCCGGCTGCTGTGCATGCTGCTGCTGACCTTCATGTTCATGGTGCTGGAGGTGGTGGTGAGCCGGGTGACCTCGTCGCTGGCCATGCTGTCCGACTCCTTCCACATGCTGTCGGACGTGCTGGCGCTCGTGGTGGCGCTGGTGGCCGAGCGCTTCGCCCGCCGGACCCACGCCACGCAGAAGAACACGTTCGGCTGGATCCGCGCCGAGGTGATGGGCGCGCTGGTGAACGCCATCTTCCTCACGGGGCTGTGCTTCGCCATCCTGCTGGAGGCCGTCGAGCGCTTCGTGGAGCCGCACGAGATGCAGCAGCCGCTCGTCGTGCTGTGCGTCGGCGTGGCGGGGCTGCTGGTCAACGTGCTGGGGCTGTGCCTGTTCCACCACCACAGCGGCGACGGCCAGGGCGCGGGCCACGGCCACTCGCACGGCCACCTCGCCAAGGGCGCGCGTAAGGCGGCCCGCGCGGGGGCCGAGGCGGGCGCGCCGCCGGGCCGGGCGCCGGACCAGGAGGAGACCAACACGCTGGTGGCCAACACCAGCAACTCCAACGGGCTCAAGGCGGACCCGGCAGGTGAGCGAGCGCCGGAGGGGCCGGGGCGCCCTCTGGCGCCGGGGGCCGCCGCGCGGTGGCTGGTGCCCACGGGACAAGTTTGACAATGACGCGTCGGGGGAGTCTGTGGGCCCGGCGGAGGGCGGCCTTTGTGAACGGCGGGCACTGTTTCCTCGCCCTGACCGCCCAGTCCGGGGAAATCACCGGGCGGGGCCCTGCATCCTTACCCGCGGGGCTAGACGCGGTGGTGAGGCGCTCCCCTCGCGGTTCTGATAGCGTTTCCCATCTTGAGCACGTGTGCTCCTGGTGCAGACTTGGAAAGTGAGCCTTGAGAAGAGAAGGGGCCGGCCAGCACCCCACGCTCGATGTCTGAGTCGTGCGCTCCTCCCCGCGTTTCTTGCCGGTTGAGTCCCGTAGAGGCAGCTTAACTTCTCCAGTGCATAGCAACTTGTTACCAAGTTCAGTTGGTGCACAGCAGAGGTTTCTCTCCCGGTCGGACCTGAGGGAACTGAAGGCCGCTTAGTGAGTATTGTAGAACTACAACTTCATTGATAGCTTCAGCTTGTGTTTGTTTTGGGCTTCTGGAGACAGGGTTTCTCTGTGTAGCCTTGGCTGTCCTGGACTCACTGTGTAGACCAGGCTGGTCTGGAACTCACAGAGATCCCCCTGCCTCTGCCTCCCGAGGGCTAGCAGGCAGCCAGCAGAGCCCCAGGCTGTGTATCTGTAGGTTGGTAAGCCCCCATTGCAAGACACTAAATCTTCTGTGATGAAGGCCATTTGCTCCTCCGGTCTGCCCAGCGGCACCTCAGATCAGGCTGTTAGACAGGGCTTTCCTCAGCCGCCGGTAGAGCCTTGAGTTTTGTTTCTTGTATGTTTCAGAAGAGTGAAGCAGGGTGTTGAGGACACCAGTCCACTAGGAGGGCAGGGGGGAGGGGCTGGGGAGCAGCGAGGAGGAACCACCAGTGGCAGGTTGGTCTCTGCTCTTAGTCCTGGCAGAGCTGGGAGAGTCGGCTGTCAGCGTACCACGACTGCTTTATGGGAAGGTCCAGCTTGTTCACGACGCCGCGACAAGGTGCTCATTGAACGCCTAGGTGTGTGTAATTAAAGTTGTCTTGCTTTGTTGTAGAGCCAGAGAAGTCCAGACACGATGACCCCGTGGACGTACAAGTCAATGGAACTCTGATCCAGCAGCCCGAGCACCTGGACGTGGAAGACAACTCGGCCGGACAGCTGAACATGAAGGGCGTGTTCGTGCACGTCCTTGGAGACGCTTTGGGCTCCGTGATCGTGGTAGTGAATGCCTTGCTCTTTTACTTTTTCTGGAAGGGCTGTTCTGAAGACAGTGTCTGTATCAACCCATGCTTTGCTGACCACTGCAGATCGGGCCTGGATATAACGAACAGCACCCAGGCCCCAATTCGGGAGGCCGGGCCGTGCTGGGTTCTCTACCTAGACCCAACTCTGTGTGTCATCATGGTCTGCATACTCCTCTACACCACCTACCCGTTGCTTAAGGAGTCTGCTCTCATTCTCCTCCAAACTGTTCCCAAGCAAATCGATATCAAGCACCTGGTCAAAGAGCTCCGCGACGTGGAGGGGGTGGAGGAGGTCCACGAGCTGCACGTGTGGCAGCTGGCCGGAAGCAGAATCATCGCCACTGCGCACATAAAGTGTGAGGACCCGGCCTCCTACATGCAGGTGGCCAAAACCATTAAGGACGTCTTTCACAATCACGGAATCCACGCCACTACCATCCAGCCCGAGTTTGCTACCGTAGGCTCCAAATCAAGCGTGGTCCCCTGTGAACTGGCCTGCAGGACGCAGTGCGCTCTGAAGCAGTGCTGCGGGACTCGGCCGCAGGCCCATTCCGGAAAGGATGCAGAGAAGGGCACGACCGTTAGCGTGTCTTGTTCAGAACCCAGTGACAACCTGGAGAAGAAGCCCAGGAGGACTAAAGCCGAAGGCAACCTTCCTGCAGTGGTGATAGAGATTAAAAACGTGCCAAAAAAGCAGCCCGAATCATCTTTGTGAGTCCTGAAAAAGATGTGATATTTGACTTTTGCTTTTAAACAGCAAGAGAAAATAGACTCCATTGAAATACTAAGTTTGCCAAGCAGTGTAATTGACGTCCTTGTCTGTCGCACAGTTAATTCTATTTTTGTGAGAACGTAACAGGACTGCGTAGCAGTTCTGCGTTACAGACAGGATTATTGGTGTGTAGTGCAGCTATGCTGTAAGCGTTTTGAAAGCCAGTTTTAACACTATGTTACATTTTTGTTTAAAGTAAGTACCTTATACGACATAATGACATTTGATTCCTGGTTTTCCCATGATAAAAATTAGGGGGTAAATAAAATTGTTACTGGAATTTCTCTGCTTTTCTCCCCCCACCAGTTCTATAGTATTTGTTAGAATTATAATTGCTAGGCCTTTAAAGTCACCAAGTTTGCTTCCTTTGATGTTTTAGGGAGTTAGCTGCCCTTTGAGATCATAAACGGAGCATAATGGCAGCATGTCTTCAGCGTGGCTCCTGACTGTTCAGCGGAAGTGACATTAGTTTACTGTCCTGGAGTCTGCTGCCCAGCACTAGCCTAGTACGCTGTGAGGTGGTTCCCAAGATGAATTACAGTTTACACAGGGTAGAGCTTGCGGGGTAAGACAGGCAGGAAGACAGCAAAGATGATATGGTAGCACCGAGGTCACAGCTCTTTGGCCTGCACACGGTTGCCAGCGTTGCCAGCTTTCAAAGGCTGGTGTTAGCAATACTGAGCTAAATTAAGGTTCTAAATGCAGGAATATTTTTGAAAATGCAGACTTAGTCTTGGCTTGTTAAGTGCAAACTAATCTTAAATTGTGTCTGAACTTTGACAGTGACCAGTCAGAGGGCTTGAACACCCTTGCACACAGCCACCGTTTGTTTGCTTTGTCAAGAGCCAGTGACTTGAAAGAAAGGAATCGGATAGCTCATTCAATTTGGATATTATTTTAGAAAGCAAAATGAACAAGAAAGAAGTCATGTTAGGTGTTTAAGCCATCCTGTCTTAACGTGCTCAGTTTTTCCTGTGCTTACTTTGCAAGATACCGCACTTTGCACCCAGGAAGTCACCCATGGCCTTTCCATTGCCACAGATTTCAAATCCAGCCCAAACATTGGAAGATTTTTAAGTTTTATTTTCCTTGTAAAGGTTAATGCTTGGTGTAGGAAATGTAGATTTTTTGTCTTCAAAAGAGTGATTAATTCTTCTCAGTTATGTATAGCTCTATTTTTCTAGGGACAAAGTACTCTGACTACTTCAATAACTTTTATAGCTGACTACTTTTGGGAACCATAACTTGGGATTTGAAATAACTCATTGCTTAATAATCTGAAAATAGAAGTATTCTAGGCCAACAGTTCCTTTTGAAGGGGTGGTCCCTGGTGTGGTGAGCCCGTTGCTGGCAGTGGGCCTGCTTAGAGCAGCGGGACCTTGTGATGAGATTGAACTCTGGGGACACAGTTTGTGAGTTCACACTTACTCCGCTGGGCCAGCCTCACCCTGCACAGTACTTCACTGGCGTGTGCTCACCTTGGTGGGTGATTGCTTTGAATTTTGCAAAAGCTTGCTTTTCTGTTTTCTTTAAACATGACAGATCTGAGCGAGCTACGGCTGTCTCAGTGACACCGTGCGGAAGGTTTCGGTGGCTTTCGCCGTGGCACAGCGAGGTCAGAGTGTGGCACCCAGTGCTGTCCTTCAGGACGCTCTAAGGGGGTCCGTGTCCACGGTGCCCGGGGAACTGGAATGCGAGCTGTGTGGCTCCGTTTCTCAGAAGTACTTTAGGGTGGTGGTGGCCTTAGGTTAAGTGGTACCATAGGCTTTTTTCAAAGGCGTTTGTCACAGCAGCGCTCATGGCGCCAGCTCACCTGGGAGGTTTAGAGAAGTATTTATTTCTTTACAATGCACTTTCTAACCCATTTTAGCTATAGTAGCATTATCTTTAAGAAAAAAACATGTTTTTATATTTAAATGTTGTGGGACTTGAGTGTCTTTTCCAAAAATAGCTTATTTCTTGAAAGAAAAGAAAGCGAGGAGCCACCTTGATCTCTTCAGGACTAGGACTCTTCACTGCATCAGCTCTAGGGGTGAGGCTTCTCTGCTGTCCGATTTGAGCAGGTCAGTGTGGACCTGGCTGATCAGAGCCAAGTGAGGTGCTCCCAAACTACACTCAACCAGGAACCCTTCCAAGCCGCGCGAGCCTTGGAACATGGAACAACGGACTAGGCGCTTTTAACTGTAGAAGAAATTCTTTTCTGGAGGGTAGCTACATTGTAGAAGTCAGGCCAGAACATGAGAAACAAGCTTCAAACTCTCTACTTCACATTCAGAACACGTTGAATAACTTTATCCTAAGATGTGCAGTTTGAACAGGAAGGGTTTCCATCAGGTTCACTTTGGAGGGTCTTGGGAGGCTGTTTTTGTGTGTATGCCGTGTCACCGTTCTGGTATTTTGAGTTTCTGACAGTTTTGAGGGAAAAGAAAACTTATGTCAAGTATCTGGTAGGTGAACTGGCTCTGAATGTTTTACAGGCAGATCTTATTTGACACTAAATGTCCTCAGCCTGCTGTCTGAAGGTAGTCATAGCAAAGGAGGGATTCTACAGTAGAAAATATTTATTTGGATACTGCGTTTCAGCTAAGTGATGACAGTGTTAAGAGGTCTGGGGAAGGTGGAAGGGTTTGTTGCCGCCTTTGTAATTAACTGTCCTGGGCTTTGCATATATACACATGTCTGTATGTATGGTGGTCCTGTTTGGCTTTACTGACAAGCCCTGGGAGATTTAGCAGTCATCTTCACTGGCACGAGAGCCTTTTGTATATTAATCAATTTAAACTTTCAAACCAAAAATATTAAGGTTCGGTATCTGGCAGACAGATGCTGAGGCAAATGTAACATGGAGTTAATATGCGGGTCTGCCTTGAGACGGCGCAGTGGAGCGTCGTGTGCCTGGTTCTTCGCCATGTTCTTGTGCTGGTTTTGTCTGCTGCCTGTCCTCTGGGCCATCCGTGCGGTTGGCGCTCTCATCCTGTTGACCGCGGAGCAGACAGAGCTCAGGTGCGGCAGCGGCTCCCAGCCTCTATGTATTCTGTGAGTGTAGTATTTCCAAAGCTGTTCCTACCTCATCATGAGGCTTTATGGATTGTTATGTATTATAGATGTTCTATATGAGACAAGACTACTGTGTTCCTTCTCGTTTATTAAAAGTTAAGTAGAAAAATAAACTAAGTTTAATATCTAGTTTGTTTTGTGCGTGTGGCCCTCCCCTCCTGCACTGCGGTGGGTGAAAGAGAAATGGGCTTCGCCAGCATACACGAGGGCATGGCGTAGAGGAAAGTAAGTGGTCAAAAGCCTGTCATAGAAACAGGAAGGGTTCCTTCACTGTGGGCTCAGGAGCTG